TATATATATATATATATATATATATATATATATATATATATATATAAATTTTTAAAAAGATCGAAGGTTCGATCGAGATTTCGTAAACATAACTGACGATCATCTTTGCACGTCGAGAAACTTATTTACGGACTTACGGACGTAATAAATATTCATGGACTATTTACCAATAGATTTTAATAAATCTTGCTTCAATTTCGATGTAAATGTATACACGTCAAATACAATTCTACTGGTCTTGTTAGTATTAAATAATATAAATTAGTATAAAAGTTAGCCCTATTATTATATTGTATGTCGTGAATATGCGAATGTACGTTGTTCGCCAAGTCAATTTCGATCGCGCACCATAATGGACATTGTGACCTCGCGTTATATATTCTTTAATTGACTACTATCGATGATGTAAAATAAAATTTTATTCCTTATTTATACAATAATTTATGACTATTATTCGATTCGATAAAATAATATTCTTTATTCGATTCCCAACTTTCTTTTTCTTTTGTCTAATAAACCTCGTAAATATCATCCGAGTGCTTGTTGACGCAATGACGATACAAAGCGACAATAGACGTTATCCAACGCGACATATGTTTGATATAGGTTACACAGGAAGAAATACGAATCTACGAATAAGGCAAACTTTTCAATACCGTAACATGTATACAGGGTTATCACTGTGCGACAGCAATAAACTTTCATTGCTTACCCTACGAGGCCAAAGCTCATTCTACCGACATAGGATTATGCAATCCGAGACAATTCATTCATATTGTTGCGTTATCTTTGATCTTATTTAAAACCAAGTTATTTATGGTCACTGTATTATAATGATGATATCGATATTCGTGCGACAAACGAATCGACTCGATGAAAACTCGAAAAAAATTTTCGAAAATAAAAAGTAATTTCGTAATATCATTATCTCCTGTCCGTTTTGCCAATGCCTCGTTTTCCCGAGAATAAATGTTTTGGCATTTTCGTGCCGATGAATCGGTCTGCTTCTCCCTTCAACCCCTTCTTTACAATCTTTTTTCTTAAAGCTTTATGCGCAATGTTCTTTAATTTGCTCTTCATCGCAACATCTTTAATACCCATTTCATCGCGGCTTGGTTTTGAACTACTTCGTCCCCTAGATCGAGACTCAGATTGCAATCTTATGCGTTTCCTAGCTGGTTGCGACAATGATCTTGAACGTCCTCTCGTCTTGGTAAAGTGTGCCTGTTGGAATTAAACAAAACAAACGATAGTTACGAATCTTATACCTTATTATATATATATATGAATCTTATATTAGTTATATTTCTTTATATTTCGATGCGTTACTCACATTTTCACTGTCTTCCATATCGATACCCAAATCTTCCATTTCTTCTTTCAATTTTGATACTGATCTGTCGCGAATTTTAGCCGCAGCTGTACGCGGCATTATGGGTTTTGTAGAAGCCTTCTGTATTCGGGCTTCATCTTTCATGATGGCTTTCTTTTCTCGAATTTGTTTGGCCATTTGTACAATTTCTAACATCGTATCGGATAACATTGGCACTTTATAATCATACATTCCTGTCTCTTCGCGAAGTTGTTCCTCTTTTTCCAATTCGTTTAATTTCTACGGATAAATATATATATATAAATATAAAGTTATATTCGAACAAATTATCACATACACATTTTGATCCAACGAATACAAACATTGAATATTTCTGGATCGATATAATCAGTGATATTATGTCCTTCCCAAATTTCTGGAATCACATCGTATTTTTGATCACCCTCGATATCGTAATTTTTCTTCAAATCAAGTACATAATCATCTCCCATTTCTTCCTCTATTTCTCGTTCTAGTTTTCGTTTTGCTTTTGATCTCTCTTCTATATTTTGTCTCTTTTTCAAAATGTTTTCGGGAATGCAAGGGGCACGAACTTTTTCATCTCTTGGTACCGGTTGCGCAACATGTAAACGATTAAGTAATCCCTCTACCTAAAATCGAAAATATCGCAAGATTTTATACTTAAATGTTACAAAATATTAAAATAAAATATTTAAAAACTATTCAACTTACTTTCTTTGTTCTTATTTTCTGATCGACACGATATGCTAACAAACGTTCACAAGCTTGTATCTTTACGTCCATTACTCCAAAATCTGTGATTGTACTCATTTCCAACAATGGAACATCTTTATCCTCCAACGATTTTAAAATTACTCGTTTCTCGGTTGAAAGTTCTTCCAAACGTAAAACGTCTACTTTGTTTAATATAACTGTCAAAGGCTTGTTAGCAAACAAAGGTTTAATCGATTCAAATAATTTCACCTACAAATTGAAACTATTGAATTATATTAAAATAAAATTTATATATATTCGCGAATTACAAATTCAGTTAAGCAACATTTTACCTGTTCTTCTAAACTATGACCACACTGTTCCGATATATCGCAAAAATAAAGTACAGCTGCTCGCAAATGTGCGAGTGCAGTTATCGCTTGCATTTCTATAACATTTCGTTCTTCGAGCGGATGATCCAGAATCCCAGGTGTATCGATTACTTGCCATCTTAAATATTTGTAATCCGTATGACCAACATATAAGGATTTTGTTGTAAATGCATATGGTTGAACTTCAACATCAGCACGGGTTATCTAAACACATTGACCAATATGATTTACATCTTTCCATTCACATGTAATCTAATTCAATTAATTATTTAAATTAAATTACCTTATTGATAAAACTGCTTTTACCAACATTTGGGAAACCGCATATTATTATAGTACGAGTATAAGGATCTATGCTAGGTAAACGAGCTAAATGTTGACGCACTTGTTCTAAATATGCTAGATTTGCTGCTTGTCTTTTCATTATTGTGGCCATACGACCTAAGGCAGCTTTCTTCAATTGTTTGCACCGATATAAAGAATCTCCATATTTCATCAGTCGAACATAATCCTTTGCTACACTATTGCAACGATATATATATATTTCATTGAAACATGATATTTAGACAATGATATCTCTATATATGTATACTTACTTATCGATTAAATGTCTTGCAATATTTATTTGACCAAGAGCCAATTTGTAATGATCTTTATCATAAAGAACATTCATTAAATCAGCATAAAATGGATGAACATCATCTAATTTGGGAAATTCCTGTATGATTTGAGATAATCTGTCATGAAAATTTTGTTGCGTAAATTTCACTTTACGCATGTAAAATGATCGTATCCTTGCAATTTTATAATGTTTATGTATAACGGTTGGAGTTTTCCGTTGAGTTTTTGATAAAATTATATCAATAAAATCCTAAGCGAGCAAAAATATTTATTAAATGGAAATTAATTATAAAATAGAACATTGAAGATATAACTAACCTTTGCAGTAGGTACAATCGCGATTTTTTTGAAATTGTATAAACCCATTATTATATGTTTCTTTTAAACTATCGTTTTACCAAAATTTTACACTATAAATTATATATTTAATATTCAATTTTGATAATAAAACTCAAATCAGAAAATTAATGAAGAATACAAAACCACGTGTATACATTATAATTTTACCTACGGATAAAAATACATTAAATAACGATATCAGCGCCATAACGGCAAAGATAGAAAATTAAGCTTATAATTGGTTATGTTACACACAAAAAGATTATAATATATAAATATATAAATAAATTTCTTATTTATTTATTTACTTTGTTTAATTAATCGTAAAATAATATCATTCAAAAATCATTTTCTTATAATTTACAAATATGAATACAAAGTTAGTATCAAACTTTCTGTTCCTTTTTAAATCTGTATAAAACTTAGTACACAATCTTATATATATATATATATATATACATATATATAATTCTCTCTTCAATCAATTAAATATTATATATATATATGTGTTTTAAGTTTAAATACATTATATATTTATTGTAAATTACAATATAATATGATTTGATGATGTAAAATATTTAACTATTATAGTTTACTGTTAAATTGTAAAAAAGAAAAAATTATAAAATATATATTATTTTTGTTATATTTTAATTTATTAGAATTCATAGAATATTCAAAATTTACCAACTATTTACATTGCAATAAATAACTAATTTATTTCAATTTTATAAATTACTTCATATTAATATTTTATAAAAAAAGAAAATTAAAATATAATGATAATCAAAAAATATCTTTTACGAGCAAAGCGCAAGCGCGACGGCGAGTATGTACTACTTGGAATTTGTCGAGACCGATAAAGAAGAATTGTTGACGAATGGGTAATTTCAATAACTTCAAAATCTTTTGAACAAAGTTATCGTTACTTTCGTATTAACGAAAAATTCTACGCGTCAACGTGTCATCAACGCAAAGCGAATTGAAATGACAAAATAGGGGCTACAAAGTGTTGAGAAGAATGTATCGCACAAGAGGTACCGTAGTTTACAAACGATCGTTAGCTAGCAAGAATTAACATGATTCGTCCTGCCATCTTGAACTGTACCATATTCTATCATTGCTAAATATTTTGTTCAAGAACAAATATATATATATATATATATATATAGTATTTATATGATATATACATCTATGAATATTGCACGTATTTTTTCATTTTTAAATTTAAATCCAACTAAAGATATAAAGTAGATTTAGAATTCAAATGTCACTCTTTGCCATTTATAACAAATTGATCTATTTAAATGATGTATGTTATAAACTATTGTAAAAAATACACGTAGATTGTAATTAATTTCGTATTCGCCTTAAACCTTTTATAATTATTAAATGATAAACAATGTAATGTTACGATAAAAAAAGAAAAGACGAAAGTAAAGAAAGTTCACTTCACTTTAAGTTTACGAATGAATTCGTTAATAAAGTTACCTAGTAAATCCATGTTTTAAAAGGTACATATCATTCTGCGATTTAAAAAATAAGAAGAAGATATTATTCGAAGAAAATATTTTTTCTATAAGTATTTAAAATAGAAAAATTAGATGAAAAATTAATATTTTTTAAATTAATAATTTTTAAAAAATAAAATTCTTTTAAAATAGCAGAGATCTTCGCTACTATCGATATTTCTTCTATTAGAATATCGATTACTGTCATCGATTAGTAAAAAAGAACAAAGTTTTTATTTTATATATTCACAAATAAAAATGTATTTATTTAAAATATAATACAAGATTTTTGGAAAATTTAAATTATTATAAAAATTATTGTAACTTAAAGGAAAAGAAAATATTTTCATCTAAAAAGAATCGATTTTAGAATAAAAAATCAAATTTGAAAAAAAAAGTTAAAAAAAGTTTGTTAAAAAAAATTTTTTTTAATATTTTCTTTTTTTTTTTAAGAAAAGAAAAAAGAGACTTCTTAAATTCTATCTATTCTATTTATAGATCTATTCAAACTTTAAGTTATTTTGTCTAAATAATAATAAAAAATCATTTGATCTATCAAATCAATATTTTAGATGTTTTTATTCAAGATATGTTCAATGATAAGTTTTCAAGCTCCTTTGTTTTTCTTCTATTTCTTTACAGAAATATTTATTTAAAAAATCGTCAGTCGTGCATTATTTTGTAAAAATTATAACTTGTTATTTCGATATTTAAATTTTTTATTTTCATCATTAATAAGATATTATTATAATTCTATTTTTTAAGATGCTAAGATATCTTTGTAAGTACTATAATATCGATTATTTTTTTCTCCTTCATAAAAGTTTTTATCATATATAATATGAAAATATATAAGTATATAATATGAAAAATTAAAATTATATATAGTAAATAAATAAATATATAGTAAATAAATATTGTTGCATATATAAAATTTGATAAGAAAATTTAAAACAATCCCTATATATCACAATATTTTTTAAATCTTTTTATACGCAACAATTTACTTTCGAATTGTAAATTTATTATGTATTTAAATTTCTATATATTATTTTGATATAATTATTTAAACATGTATAATTTTTTAAAAAATTTTTAGCATTATTGTAAAAAAATAATTTTTGAAATGATTATATTATATATATAATTATATACAATTTAAAACTGTTAAAACAAGATAAGGAAGGTCAGAAAATATATTTATAGGAAGGAGTAATTAAGTAAGTGCTTAGGAAAATATACTATTAGTATGTGTCCCTCTGGTGGCAAAAAGGGTTGCCACAAAGATAATGCGCGATGTGTCTTCATTGTATCATTTGTGTCTTAAAATTACTTGATAATTTGATTATTGCGTTTAATTATAATTTAAATTTCATATAAAGTATAATTTATAACGTGGTGATCAAAAAACTTTTTTGTGGAATACCAACTTTGAGGTAGAAGGCAAGAAAGGTCGTCCGATTATCTCAAAAATTATTGAACAGGTATATGACTGATAACCGCGAATTTATAATTTTTATTTAAAAATTGGCTAGTTTTTTTTTATACTTTTAATAATTTTTCATATATTTTAAATTCATTTTTCTGTTTTCATATTTATAATATATTTTATCAAAATTTAAATATTCGATATTAATAAAGTGTAAATGACATTTGTGATCTATATAATTCTTCCTTTTTTCCATTTTTTAATTTTTATGACATTGATAATTAGGAATACACATAAAATTATCTAATATTTTATGTACATTTATGATTAATAAATGATTATTTAAGAATAAATAATAGAAACAAATATCTTAAAGTATATAAATGTTATATATCAATTTGTCTTATATAATTTTATAATAACTTAAAATAATACAAAAAATATTTACTTGTAATACTTATAATAAAATTATAAACAACTCAAAATATAATTTCTTTTGTTCTTCATATTTTATTATTTATATCAATATATATCTTTTTTATACTATGAATTTGTTTTTTTTTTTTTTTTGATATTTTAATTCACATAGAATTTCTACAGTTTTTTTTTTATAAAATGTTTTTGTATATAAAATAATTAGAATTGATAAATAAAAATTCATAAAAATTCAAGAACAAATATAACGAACAATTATAAAATAGAAAATATAATATCTTGAACAAAAATATATTGCAGATAATTTTGAAGACATGAGATACTCAATGTTACAAGAACAAGAATATGGGGTAGCTTTACCTCAAAATCAATTGCCCAATGAAATAAATGAATCTGTGACAATTGATACTGATACCATTGAACCAGAAAATAATAATCCTATAGAAGAAGGTTCTATGGTATCAAATCTTCCTCTTTTATTTGCCAATGGACACCCAACATCGCTAGAAAAAATTACATTGGTATGAATATTATTTTTTATAATTATCATTAAATTATAATCCATTAGGCATCAAATTCATTTCAATTACTTTGAGTTAATTTGATTGTATTTGTTCTAACATGAACAATTATATTTTATTACAATGAATGAAATATTATTTGAAAAAGTTTTTTGAAAAAATAATTAAATAAATATAATAAAACCTATCTATATATATATTATCATGCACTTCGTGTATTGTTGAAAGATCTGTTTTTGGAGGATTAAAAAATTATATATTAATATAAAAAGAATTTATATTTTTTAATAAATAATAGGTAATAATAGTAGGTATAAATATTATAAAAAAATATTTAATTTTAGGCACAGTTAGAACGTTTTGTTACATTTATGGTACAGTGCTCTTTAGGTCATGATACCAATGAAGTGATCAGTGTACCACAATGGTGGCCAAAAGAAGTTAAATTTTCGAATCCCTTAATAAGACCTAAAAGAGTAAATGATGTAAGTTAACTATGTTATTCATAATGTAAATGTATAAATAATTGTTTTTGAATGATAAAGCATTTGATTTTCAAAATGGGCATTATATTTTAGAATTGGATGGCTAATTTGAAAAAATTAGTATTCAGATGTTATACATACCATAGAAGCGAATATCTCTTACGTTTTTGTTCATATCTTGCACGATATCCACAAGAAGATTTGGAATATGTCAACAATTGGGATTCCACAACAAGTTTATATCACAAAAATACTGGCAAATTATTAGTAACATTTCGAAATGAAAATATGGTTTGTTACTTAATTTATGCTTTGTTGTATGTAGTATATAAATTTTATAAAAATTAAATAAAAAATATAATTTGTTTTATTTATAGAATTATGACAAAAGAGAAAGAAGTCCTCGAAAAAAGTTATTATCTTGTAGTGGAGTAATTTCTTCTTATAATAAGTCAAAACAGCAGCAACATTCCATGATGATGGTTGAGCATCAACAAAATGTTGAGTTATCAACGGAAGATATTTATCTATGTGACAATTGTGATGCTGAATTTATAGGCCTAGAGAAAATGAAGGTACATTACGCGTGCCCACGTGTGCATATAGATTATAATAAAGAAGATAAATGAAATTAATGATAATTTCACATAGGAACACGAACGTGTATGTTATGAACAAGAACAAAACGGAAATAATTCGCGACCTACAACACCAGAATTGTCTATTATAGAACCTGAATTAAAACAAGATCAGTTCTTGGAATATTTTCAGTTGTGTTCAATAAACTCAGAATCTAAATCTGCTGAAAATAGTA